CAAAAGAGGACTTCCAGAACTGCTTCAGAAAGTGGCAAGAACGATGGGATAAGTGTGTTCAAAGCGAGGGGGAGTATTGTGAGGGGGGGTTAATGGCAATATGTCTTTTACTGTAACCATTTTTTAAAAATATTCACTGTATTGTTTGATCACACCTTGTAGATAAAAGGATGAAGGGAAAACAGGTAAAGAGAGACTTGTCTCATGCAGAGAACCAGCCATCCCTCTAATAAGTGAATATAAATAAGGCCACCTGAATATCGCTGAAGCAGAAACAAAGCTGCTGGAAACCAGGTCTCTGTGATGCCAACTAGGTTCCCAAAAAGATTGAGGGCACCTTAGGAAACAACACCCTAATCATCTCTGTTGATAAAATTAGAGCTAGATCAAGCAGTTAAGAATTAGTAAAAAAAAAAAGGTACCTAACCCTATGTAAGCATTCATATTTATTCTGTATTATTTGCATATTTTCTTTACATATAATACTTATTAGGATTGGATATTTTAGGGTGGTTTTTTTTTTAAAATGAAGAACCCTCTTTTGATCATTAAAAAAGTTGATGAATAGGAAAGCATGCTAATGGCCTTCTGTTAACTACACGTCCGGCTGGAAGTCACCAGATGGCAGCATACACTACCTGCAAGGCAGAGACCCTAGGAAAACATAAAACAGCTTCTTGAGCACTAAGTTTATAAAACCGAATATCAAAGTAACATCATTTGCTACGTACAAGTCTATCAATTATATTCTCAATCCAGAGGACTGGGTGACATTTTATCCCAAATGCCAACATCTCGCAAATAATAGCACACAGGCAGTGTTACCTCAGTGGACCTCAAGGCACATGCAAGCACTCAGTGACATTAAAAACCATGTTGGTTATACAGTGGCAATAAAATGAGCATGTGGCCTTCGGAAGGACATGTCCCTATGCAGTCTATTTGTTCTCACCTCATGGCTTGGCATCCTGTTAATGAGATAAGCAGGGGGTGTCCCCGTCAGACGCATTATCTGCTGAAGCTGGTTAATATCTTAGATGCCTAGTCAAGGGCATTGTTAAACACAGTGCAAAAAATCACTTTCAACTCAAGGTTTCAAAAGGCCAAAAGCTCCCCTCCCCCAAACAAACAGAAAACCCACTCCCCACCCGTCCTACCCACCCCAGGCCAGAACCCAAGGCTGCATGCTTCTGTGAAAGGCACGAGAGTTATTGGACATGTAACAGTGACTGGCCGTGCGGATGAGAAACTTTTTCTTTGGTTTTGGCATCATCTTTAACATTAATATTTCAGGCTCCCTTGAAACAGACTGCCCCCCTTGGTCCAGGATGCCAGCCAGAGAACTGTTTTCAAGGACTGATGGCTAAAACCTGTTTGTTTATGGGGTAAATGGAGACAATTCAGAAAAATTTGATGCAACTTTGGACAAAAGAATAGATCCAAAAGGTCCACTGAAGGAATAGGTTAAATTTTGGTGGCACAGGTTGTGGTGATTCTCCATGGCACCCCCCTGCAAATGTAAGACATAGGTGGGCGTGTGGGCTGATAAGGAACGCCAAGTTTCAGAAACATTAGTAGTGGTACGTTTAAAATACATGCCACAAACACACAGGTAAGTGAAGAAAGGGGAGATGAGGGAAGTTAGAAGCCAATGGCAAAGACAAAATACAAGCCTCAGGCTGCTGGCGGTACATGGCATGCCACAGTGATTCCTCCCACAGTCCAATAGGTCATCGGACTGACTGCGCCTCACCCACAGCTGGGACGGAGTCTGCAGAACACTCTGCAGCTATGACAAAGGCATGTGAGGTCCTCTCTATATACAAGGACCTATGTGAGCTGTACTGCAAACCTCTCTTTTAGCCGTCTCATCCATTTTAACACAATTCCCCCTCCTCCAAAATATTACGAGAACTGTTAGTTTATCATGCGCTCCTATTAAAGCAGAAGTGATGGGGTTTTTAAAATCCTCCCCACAATTCAATAACCCCTTTTTTCATATTCCCTTTCTTGCTAACTATTAACGCCCTCCCGCAGCTGCAGCAGTATCTTCAGTAAGCACCTCAGGCAAGTGGCTTCACTTCTTGGTGGCTTCCCTCAGTGATTTTTCCACTTTAGCTCATTCTCTGAACTCAAATTCCCCAGTGGTCAGATTACTAAAATTACAACTTCTAGGCCGGCCACTTGGAAGGAGCTGGGGCCGTGTGCGGTCCGTCTGCCTTTCAGGCCCCCTAAGCCAAAAGACAGGGGCTGCGTGTACCAACAGTGGTATGACGTTCTTACAACCAAGTTTAGATTTATAAACAATTACATAATGAACAGTACTTCACATGCCAAGAGAAATAAAAGGGGTCCGTAAGTAAACCAGCAGAATAGCAGCTGGGTTTTAAAATGTTAAAATCCTGCCACCTTTCTCTTCCTTCCTGTGAACAATACTCGGCCTGTACATTTTCTGTTTTTGTCTCCTCTAGTCAAATGGGCTATCACATCCCCTTCTTGTCAGGAAGTTAGGAAGAATACATTTCTAGAGAAAAATGTGAGAGTGAGTCAGTGAAAGGGCTTTTGCTTTCTTAACATGACTTTTTGTTCTTTCACTAATTAGTATAGGTACTGGGTCACCAACCGAAACAATTCCATCCCCTTAGCCATCCATCATGACCTGTTTATGCCCTTCTCACGGCGTAGCCTCACTTGCTCTCAGTCAGCCCACCCATAATTGCGTTCTCTGACTCAGAATGTCCTACTACTTATTGATTAAATTTCTACATAAATGATGCCATCACTACTTTGCTACTTTTCAGGAGTAATGAAAATCACTATTGCTTTTCTCTGTTTACTATATTCCTTCAGTAATAAATTTTCCTTTTAATTTTTAAAATCTTTAAACAATTTTACTCACCTGGCTTTGTTCTTTACATATCACGTGTTCCACACATCATGTGCTTTTAAGATAAACTGGTACTTGGACAGTATCACTAAAATCGAATTGATCTTGTCTGCCCTTTTGAATGTTTAAACTACTTTTACCCACTCACCATAACTATGTAGGCCAAAAAAACAAATCCCTTTCTTATTCCTATACTCAATACGACATTATTTGAGTAAGTTCTGTAGTCTGGTACTCAATTTTATCATGCCCAACTCTATATTAGGGCTCTGTAATATATAATGTGCTCTATTTCACATATGATAGATATCTCAATATCGGGTCAGGCACTTGGTGGTGTTTCTTTCTTAAAAATAAGTGATGGATTAATGATAAATACATACTATAAGACCCATACCTTTTAGTTTAGAAGTTCTCGTGACTTAACAGCACGTATCCATAGGGCAGATGGCTGAAAGTGGGAAGGGGACTGAGGCTGCTGGTAGCCATCCCCAGGCAGGAAATGAGCGTGCTATCTCAGTCTCATTAGCACTATTTATTATTCAACCCAACTCCTTCCCAACCCCACTCCCTGCCCTCATGTCCTCTCTATTAGCTAGTCTTTCTAAGCAAATGCATTGAAAACAAAAAGCACTACCCTCTCTAAGCATCTTCTCTTATCTTCTTTGATTCACTCCAATACAGCTTCTGCATTTCACAAAGCAAAAGAAAACACTCTTCCGGTTGACACTGTGGTCAAAAACTCGGACGATGACTTTTAAAACAGTGTGCAATCACAGGAGATTAACATTTCGATCATGTATCGGAACATGTGAGATCCGTGCTCAGCTCTGCCAAGTGACTCAGTGCACGACGCAGGCGAATCCCAGCCTTCCTGTGCTTTGGCTGCCAAAGTAAAATAGGGCTGGCACATTCTCTTACGTCCGTCAGTGTGGAAATTCATAAATACCCTGGGCTTTGTGGTCCTTTTAAGGAATGTACCAGACACACACCAGATGACAGTATTCTTTATTCTGACAGGGAGATGATGAACAGTTCAAACTCACCTGCTCCAGCCTGCCTCAAGCTACCCAGCAATCTTCCCAATTGGGCAAAGGGACCCCTTCCGTCAGAGATGCTGGGAGACTCCAGGAAGGCACCACTGACGCCTGGCTCTACAGCTCTTTTTTTCCCTTTTATCCAACTGACTAGCAGCAGGCAGAGGGGACAAGGGAGAAAGGCTTCCATGATTTGTTTCACGTCTCCTGCCCAAGAAAATGACTAACTGCAGGAAATCATAGCCCAAGGATGCCAGAGTGGCATTCCCATGGCTTCTCCGCCAATGTCTGCGCAGAGGCAGGAAAGCATGAGCGCCGACGTTTTTTCTCAGGTTATTCAAATTTGTAATTACAAAGGCAGGCTGTGGGAGGAAGGATTTACACCCCGGCTCCTGTGGACCTCAGGTATCAGGAGCAGGATGGAACCTCTGGTGGTCTGGAAACTGGGTAGAGAGACGCTCCTACTAGGAACTGACACTTCACACAGGAGGAGCAAGTTGTCTATTGTAAAACAATAAAAAGCAAGTAACTTCCAGAAAAGGGCAATAGTGTCCAGACAGTGCACATTTCATTCTTTTAGTGATAACGTTAGACTAATACAGGGTGAAGCTCATGCTCTGATAACAAACACTAATCAAAATGTGAAAAGAACCCTTGAGTACACGTGAAACTTCTGAGAAGAGGAAGTGGGGCTGGAGAATGGAGACATACATTTTCCATTCATCTCTTGGAATGAATTAGAATCTCAGATCTCATTTACTGGGATGTTACTGCCCAATACAAGCTTCCATGATCTAAGTACATACCAGGTAGACAGCAAATGAAACACACTCATGCATGTGACCGGGTGTGTGTGTGTGTGCATGCGTACAAACGTGTGCACACACACTTACACCTCCTCCTGGGAGTCAACACACACAGGGCACATGTGCTTAAAAACATATCCGGTTCAAAGGTCAGATTGATGGAAGGCAAGTGACAGAGGCACCCAACAGGGCAGATAATTACAATCAAAGCATCAACTCACAGACTCTGAGGAGATTTTCTTCAAAAGCTCAGCCCCTGGGGTTCCAACGAGTCTTAAAATGAGCTTCAACTGATCAATATCTAATGGTGGACTATAAAGGAAAATGTTGGGACAAAATAAAAATAAAAAACAAACACAACAAACAAAACAAAAACAAACAAACAAAATACCCCCTTAACAAAAATTAAAAACCCCAAAGCAAGCCAAAACGGTGAATTCATCTAGGCAGGGCTTCTGCAGGATAGTCACTTCAAGTAGAACCCGCTCCTCCTGTACAGAGTCGAAGTGCGACCACACACATATCAACTTGTATCCATTTTGTGCATCTGTCAACATCCCCTATTAGGAAAGCGAAGCGACTTTCGCTGCCACAGACGGCAGGGAAAAACACAGAGCTTCACACAGTCCCTGTGGCTCAGCCCACACCTCTCCTCACCTTCCACCAAAGCATCAGCAGCCAGCTAAGCAAAGGGCAATGGTAAGCAGGGTGCTACAGGTGAGAGAAGCAACAGAGCACAGGAGCTGGGCTGTACAGCTTAACTGTAAATACGCCCGAGGCTTGACGGCAGGGGCCTGTGAGGCTCCCAGGTCCTAACTAACCACGTGGATGTGTCCCCTGGAAAACCTCTCCCTCTGCACTGGCTACACAGGCAGAGAACTGTGAGTGACAGCCAGCAGAGGGCCCCACTCCACCGCTGCATCTGTAGGAACTGCAGCAGTGCCATAATAAAGCAGGACCTACGGGCTTTCAACCTCGTAAACACATTCACAAACCTCACGCACCCCAAAGGCTCTAAGTAATAGGGCACAGCGCCCACACCTTTACTCTGGTAACCAACTCTTCAGTGTATACTGAGAGTGTATGTGCACACAGTAACAGGAAGACCAAAACTTCCATTTGTTCTTACTGCTTTGAGCCTTGCCTAAAAAGGACACTAAAAGGGAGAGAAAAAACATCTTATAAAGTAGCTTTTAATAATCTCTGTGAAAATATGAATAGTTAATCCATGTCTATGCTGACATTTGAGTGGAAAGGAGGGGAGAATGACTACCTTCTAATCCCTGTCAAAAAACCTGTCAGGTTTTTGCATGATTAGATCCTTCTCAACTTCAGGTCTCAGCTTAAACGTCACCTCATCAGAGAGGCCTCCCCCAGCACTCCACATAAAGAAGCCCCCCACTACAGTTATTCTCTATCTCAACACACTGCTTGAAAACCTCATAGTGCTTATCACAACTGATAACTACTTTGCTTATTGCCTGTCACCTCTACTCTACTGATCTGTAGCCCGCTGAGGGCAGAAGCTACTCTGCGTGTTCACCACTTAACCCCAGGGCTTAGCATAACATCTGGCACATGATGGGCACTCAAAATATTTGAGGGGAAGGTCGAGTAGGATGGAAGGGAGGATGGCAGAAAATATTTCTTCTTATGCTTATACATACAAAGGCAATCCAGTGTAACTTAAAAATAACGGCCTCTGCAAGCCACAGTTGCCTAATATACAGGAATTACTTATGCAATAGTATCACTGGCATCTCGCCCTGTTTTCTCTTTTCTTACCGACATATGAAATTGGCTTACGTGGAAGAAAATTCTAGACAGGAGTCAGCAAACCCCAACCTGCTGCCTGTTCTGAAAATAAAGTTTTACTGGAACATAGCATGCCCATTCATTTATGTATTGTCGATGGCTGCCTTCACCCTACACAGCAGAGCTGAGTAGTTACAACAGAAACCATATGGTCCCCAAAGCCTAAAATATTTACTATCGGGCCCTTTAAGAAACCCCACCCTAGACCCAAATAACTTGTATTCTATAGAAAACAAGGATAAATAAAAATAAGTCCATTCATGTAAGTTATTTCTGAATTAAGAACAGAGAATTTTGTCATCTGCAAATGGCAAAAATCAATGTGTTCTGGAGGTTAAAATTTCAAAACTGATTTCTTAGTTCTGGTGTTGAGGAGAAAAAAATTGTAAAGCATACATTAACAGGGACAGAGCAAAGAGGAGGGTGGATACCATCTTGCTTTCAAACAATGAAAATAACTATTTTATAATAAAATTTTGTACAAGATCCTCTTTGCTCATTTAAAATAATTCAGTTTACAAACAGTTAGGTCAATCACACTCTTCAGAAATAAACTTAATTGGGTAGCTATCCTACAAGATAAAGGATATCACACATGAAAAAAAAAAAACTAGACTACTTCAACTCTCAAACAGATAGATTTACAATATGTGCATCAAAACTAACCTCTAATGTTGTGAAATTGGTACTCTTGTTTCAGAGACGTCTGACTACTGCAGATGAATCAAGTTTTATACTCCCTCTGAGGAAGAAAGAAGACTCTGGTGTGAGTTTCCCAACTGCCCCAACTTCACCCCAACATACTTGAAGAGTATAGCACTCCCACTAGTCACGGTAGCTCACTATGGCAGTGAGTTGGGGGTCCCCATGCTTCTGCCAGCATGAAATGATCTCAGGCCTGAAGAATCAAGCCCCAGTTCCTCAGCCTCACATCCAGGGCCTCCCTGACTTGGCATCAGGCTTCTTTTCTGACTCTGCCTCCAACTATTATTCCTTAATGCGCTCACTGCTTAAGCTCACAACAGATATTCCAAGCACTTCGAGGCTTCCAACTGCTTATTTATCCAAGTCATAGACAGGAATACCCTCCATTCTCCCCTTCTACCTAGCCTTTTCTCTTCTTATCTACTCTTCAAAGTCCTGCTTAAATGAGAACTCTGCCATGAAGTCTTCCTGGTTATCTTGAGTTTGAATTAATCTTAGTAATTTATTTATACCTCTATTACAGTATTTCTTTCTTTCTTTATTTTTTTTTAATCACTCGGTCTTGTTTCATAATCAGAGAGTGGACATTTGTTCAAGTAACTCCTGTAACTCACTTCCCACGAGTATGATCGTTCTGGTTTGGGTGGCAGGTACCATCTCATCCCCAGAAACTTCCACAGAGCTGCTCAGTCAATATTACCTTGACAAACTTTCTATAATATGCTTTTCAACTCAGCTCCACCTCTTTGCCTTGCTCTCAAGATCTAGAAAAACCCATACTCTGTGGAAAGTCTACCTATGAACTGCGTCATCTAATGTTGGGCCTAACAAGTTCTCACACACTCCATCTGAAGTGTTTACACCATAAAGGGTATACAAATATTGTGCCATGAGCGTGTAAGGGCTACAGAAAAGAAAGCTGGAAGAGCATGGCAGCCAATACTTACGAGATTAGTAAACACACAATGCCAAATAAAAATCTGCTTAATAGCTAAAAGCACTTGCATGAAGGAAGTCAAAGCATGCAAACCTCAGAAGACATCACCACAGGTTCTCCAAGAGCTGGCACATCCATTGACATACAGGTCAGGCTTCCAAGAGTACCAGCTACTGTAAGGCCACTACAATTTGTCCAGGTGGTTAAGGCCAGAAGGAGCTTCAAGTAGCTACACAGCAGAGCAAAGCAAAATTTACCATGTTATGACCATTAGTTATTTTCACAGCAAGCCATCCTTCCTAAGAGGTTTAACCCTTTTTTCCCCAAGACAGGTGTTATTTTTACCATACGTTTTAATTATAATGATCACAATGTCAAAATTTAAATCGTAAATTTCCTGATTTTTCCTAAAACAAGGACTTAGGCCTAAGATTACTCTTTCGACTAGGTCCTTTGTAACAAAAGTAAAAGGAAGTTGGAATGCAGAGCTGAAGAAAAAAGGCTAAGGGTAATGGGGGTAAGGAGAGGGAAAGTGAGAGGGATGTTTTAGTCGCGTCTAAGAATTCTAGGCAATTTTTAGAAAACCTCCACAGGTCGAGGAGTTGAAGGTGAATAAAAGGACAAGTATCAGGACCTACCTGCGAATACTGCTGCTTCTGAGCAGCAGTTTTCAATTAAAAAAAAACAAAAACAAAAAACAATCCTCATGGGGCAAAGCCAGAACACTGATCTCTGGAGGGCAGGAGATCCTCCTGGTGACAGAAAGGACGGACCAGAATGAGCCTTCGCCTACTAGCTTCTCTTCTTGGTCATCAAAGTAGCTGTTTGCACTGTCACACAAAGAAAATTTCTTAAGGTACTCTAGGTTGGTGGGCAAAACTGAGAATTCTAGCCATTCCTGGGAAGATATATTTTCAAATTAGAGAAGGAAAGGCAACCTAATAAAATATTTTTCTTCTTCAACCTTTATTAGGACACTTGTCTTCAGTGTCTAAAGTACGACTGATTTTAAAAAATGAGGGAATATTTGAAACCAATGTCTGGAAGTGAGGGGTAGATGTGACAGGAAGGGGCCCAGCAGAAGTTTTAGCTTTCCTGGTAATGCTTTATCCCAGGATCTGGGTCATATGAACATAGGTGCTCATTTATTATTCTTTGTCTTTATTATGTCTGAAGTATTTCAGAAGGTGTTTGAAAAAAATCAAAAGATTAAATGAATACAGTAGAATTAAAAAGCAAATTTAGTGCACTAAGAGAATTCATATGGAGGAGGGCCAAGTGGACTGTAACTCAACAGCCCGATTTATGTTCTCCGTAATGTCTTAAGGGTACCATTGTTATTAAAATGAAAGGAAGAAAAAGTTTTACACATGAAGGAAATTCATATGATTACTTAGGAAAGGAAAACAACAGTAAACCACGGCTGTGATCTCTGGACGAGAAAACAGTATTTGATGTGTAACAGGGCTATGAAACTCATTTTCTTTCTTCCATAGGTTGCAGACTGTTTAGCGTTAGGAATAACATTTTCTAATCGGCTCACTCTTTTAAAAAATCAGTGGTTTTTGAAATAAGTTAGCACTGTACCTGTCAGCTGTGTCCACTTGATATACCTAGTCAACTAGGCTTATAAGGAAAGGCTTCATTCTTTAAAAAAAAAAAATTACAACACTATTTTGAGCTAGTTGGAAGGGTTCTGCAAAGTCACAGACAAGAGTAATTTCTAACCTAACATTATATATTTAGCTTTAAGACAAAAATTAGTATTTCTTATATTTTTAGAGGAACTCCAGGGATTATTAACAACCAATAACAAAAGAATCTCTCAAGAAAAAGACTAATCACAAAAAATAAGAAAAGGTAAAATAGGAAGACTTGCAGAGACTTAAAAGTGCACCATCCGATATAATATCAGTAATCACAGGTGATTAAATTTAAATGTAATCTAAATAAAGTCTAACGAAATTTAAAATGCAGACCAGATAAAAAGACTCATAAAACAATGAATGGAAGGAAACTTCCCTGACATTATAAAAGGCATTTATGAAAAACACACAGCTAAAATCATACTCAGTGGTGAAAGACTAAAAGCTTTGTCTCTAAAGTAAGAACAAGACAAGAATGCCCACTGCTATTCAGAATAACACTGTACTGGAAGTTCTTGCCAGAACAATTACACAAAAGGAAAAAAATTAAAGCATCTAAATTGGAATGGAAGAAGTAAAACTATCTCTATTCATAGATGACATGATCCTATACATAGAAAATACTGAACAATCTACAAGAAAGCTACTAGAGCTAATAAACAAATTGAGCAAAGTTGCAGGGTACAGGAGCAATGCACAAAAATCATTTGTGTTCCTACACACCAACAACGAACAAACCAAAAAAGAAATAAACAATTCCATGTGCAATCACATCTGAAAGAATAAAATACCTAAGAATAAATTTAACGGAGGAGGTAAAAGACTTCTCCACTGAGAATTAGAAAACATTGTTGAAAGAAATTAAAGAAGACATAAGTAAATGGAAAGACATCTCCTTTTCCTGGATAGGAACACTTTATAGTGTTAAGATGTGACTATTACCCAAAGTGATCCAAAAATTCAATGTCATCTCTATCAAAATTCCAACAGTCTTTTTTGCAGAAATGGAAAAGCAGGACCTCACATTCATTATGGAATTACAAGGGAGCCCAAAGAACCAAAAAAAATCTTGAAAATAAGAACAAGGACTCACACTTCCTGACTTCAAAACTTACTATAAAGCTACAGTAATCAAAACAGTGTGGTGCTGCTATTAGAATAAATATCAAGACCAAGGAGACAGGCCTGACCTTTGCCAGGAGTGCCAAGCCCACTCAACAGGGAAAGGATTGTCTCTTCAACAAATGATGCTGGGACAACCAGATTTGCACTTGCAAAAGAATAAAATTGGACCCCTAACCTCACATCATATAAAAAAATTAACTCAAAATGGATTAAAGACCTAAGTGTAAGAGATAAACCCATAAAACTCTTAGTAGAAAACAGTAAATCTTCATGACCTTAAATTTGGTAATACATTTTTAGATGATACCAAAAGCAGGAGCAACAAAAGAAAAAAACAGATAAACTGGAATTCATCAAAATTAAAACTTTTGCACATCAGAGGACATTATGAAGAAAGTGAATAGACAGCCCACAGAATGGGAGAAAATATTTGCAAATCATATATCTAATGAAGGTTTAGCATCCAGAATAAACAAAGAACTCCTAAAACTCAACAACAAAAAGACACTCTATTAAAATATGGGTAGAAGACTTGATATATATTTCTTGAAAAAGATATACACAAAAATGGTCAGGAAAAGATGCTCAACATTATTAGTCATTAGGAAAATACAAATCAAAACAACATAGAGATACCACTTTATACCTACTAGAATGGTTATAATAAGGAAGGAAGGAAGGAAGGAAGGAAGGAAGGAAGGAAGGAAGGAAGGAAGGAAGGAAGGAAGGAAGGAAGGAAGGGGGGAGGGAGGAAGGGAGGGTGGGAAATGGGAAGGGAAGGGAGAAGGGAGGGGTAGGTAGGGAAGGGGAGGGGGATAGGGGACGGGAGGCAAAAGAAAAGAACAAGTATTGGTGAAGATGTGGAGAAACTGTTCCTATATCACTGATTGGCATGTAAAATGGCACAGCTGCTGTAGAAAACAGTTTGGCAGCTTCTAAAAAAGCTAAACACAGAATTACTATATGACCCCCCAATTCCACTCCTAGATATGTACCCAAAAGAACTGAAAGTGGGGACTCAAACAGATACTTGTATGCCAATGTTCATTGCAGCACTATTCACAATTGCCAAAAAGGTGAAAACCACCCACGTGGCTATGAACAGATGAATGGATAAACAAAATGTTTTATATATATATATGTAACAGAATAGTATTCGACCATAAAAAAGAATGTATTTCTGATACATGCTAGAACATGGATGAAAAAGCAAATACAGAGATGGAAAGTAGAAGAGAGGTAACCAGAGGCTGTGGGAGGGAAGAATGGGTAGTTTCTGTTTGGGATGATGAAATGTTTTGGAAATACTTATACATGGGGGTGACAGTTCCACAATTTTGTGAATATAATTAGCATCACTGGATTGCATACTTAAAGAATGGCTTAAATGGCAAATTTTATGTTAATACAGTTTACCACAAAAATATTTTTAATTCAGTTCCTATGTTTCACTAGCCATATTTTAAGTGCTTAGTAGCCACATGTGGCCAGTGGCTACCAACCACCATTTGTTTAGCACAGATCAAAAACATTTGTAACTCCACAGCAAGTTCTATTACCTAGCTCTTATCCAGAAGCTAAAACCACCAGTTCCAAATGCAAGATGATTAATAAATGAGCTGAACAGGGAGAAAATTGTGCATTCAAATAAAGAGTATGCTCTAGATGTGACCTCAACATTCTGCTGTGCTTAGAAACCAGTAGCTACATGCCTTTCTTTAATAAGCAGTAGCTGCATGCCTTTCCGAGCAAAGGAAAAAGAGTGTGTGGGCCAGCACGTTCTCCAAAGGTTTAAGAAGAGGAGTTCTAGGGCCGGCCAAGTGGCGTGTTGGTTAACAGCTGGCTTGGGACGCCAGAGGGCCCCGGTTCAGATCCCACATATGAGGGCCAGTGACACTGCCCTCTACACCTAAGATGCTGAACAACAGCTCAACCTGGAACTGGGCTGCCGTGAGTCGCCGGCGAAGGCGTAGGCTGCAGCCCCTGTGGCAGTGGGTTGCCATGGGCTACGTTATGTAGCCAGCAGCCAGCGTGAGCGGCCAGCAGCTGCAGTGAGCGGCTGTCCAGAAGCCGGCGACTGATCTGCCTCACCCGGGAAGAGCCCAATGATGGTGCCAACTTGGGCCAGTGAAGCAACGTCCTCCACAACTAGACTGAAGAACAAAATGACAGCAACTTGTCTGTTCTCCTCCCCCCAATTCCCCAGCGCTGTTCCCATCCCCCCAATTCCCCAATAAAAAAATCTAAAAAAAAAAAAAAGAAAAAAAAGAAAATTCACCTGGGTTAAACTCTAGTCGTACTCAACGCCAGCTCACACAAGCATCAACTGGGGACTTAAATATACCAAGCTCTACGCTCTGACCACAGCAACTAAAGCTGAGCCGCTGGGGTGGCGCCTAGGCATCTGGAGTTTTTAAAAGCTCCCCAAAGTGTTCTGGTGCACAATGAGAGTAAAGACCCACTACGCTAGAATATAAGTGATTGCACACTTCAGGTAAGCAGAAATAATAGAAAGCACTTTCCTTTCTCTTTGTCGGGCAACCAAAGTTATATCCACAGAGATGGTAACTGACAAGATGGGAGTTAATGTGTGTTACAAATATAAATCCTCTGAATTTGACTTTTATGATCCGGGAGAACATCTGTCTGAAAATGAGCCAAGTAGGCAAGAAACAGTGTACTACTAAAATGAGAATTTTGAAATGAATTCTCATGTATTATCCTCTAGTAAAAAGCTTAATGCTAGGTTTTCTAGCTAAAGCTCACAGAAGGAGAAGAAGTAGGCATAAAGGGAAGACTTCTCACAGGTTGCAAGTTAGCACTCTAAAAGGGTCCAGCCATCAGGGAGCAGGCAGCCGTCTGAGGTGGGCCCACAGGGCGCTGGCACGACTGCTTTAAAAACTTTCTACCAGTAGCCTGCCAAGCGGATCCATCTTTAACTCCCAGTCACAAAATTTAAATAAAACTGAAAGTTATCCTTTAAAGATTCCTAGGTAGATAACAAAGTGGGCAGATGAAGGGAGAAACGGTTTTCCAAAGATTATGAAGGAAGATGATGGTTAACAATTCCTGTTCTAAGTACTTCCCAGATAGTATCTCATAACCACCTTGTGAGGGATGTACTGTGATCAGTATTTATAGTTAAGGAAACCAAGAGGCAGAGCTGAGGAAAGTTGTTCAAAGCCACACAGCTGCAAGGAATGAGCTACTAGGATCTAACCCCAGAAAGGCTGACTGCAGAGCGCGGACCCTTACCCAGGACGCTCGATTGCCCGGCTCTCTCCACCACTTTGTGTGTCTATGTAGGTATGAGAGTCCATGACTAACTGAAGGTAGATGGAGGTACAGATAGAAAGAAGAGGAAGGGAAGAGGGGAACAGAGGACAGCATTAGAGCAGTGTGCTCGGGAAGACCAACTAAAAAGGATGGGACTCTGAGGTACACACCTGAGGAAAAGGAGAATTACAAATTTTCCCTAATGCTCTTAGCATAGACTGTAATGTACATACACAATTTCTAGGAAACTGATGTGAACTGAATGAAGCAACGGCCAAAGGAAAAACACAAGGTACTGAACTAACTTCAAACCTGGAGATGAGGAGCGATAAAGTGAGCAAAGTAGAGGGAGGCCGACAATATTCAGAGGGAAATGAACAGCTTTACCTGAGGGAAGAGCTTTCGCAGTTTGTTAGGAAAGCACATTTTCTCCGAAGAAGACAGAATATGTGGATAGACAGACAACATGAGCATCAGTCACCACAGAAGCACATCCCAAACTGGAAGCAAGGAAAACGACGCTCTGGTTTACAAAGCAGTGAGTCTGCTGAGGCGAGGGGCAAAAGCAGCTCTTAGGTGTCAGCACGACAGGGCACAGGTAACTGCAGCACCTTTACAAGCCCAGCCAAACCCACTAAAGGCTAGTCGGTGGGTTTTACAAAAATCCTCAAACCTAGTTCTAGAAATATGATTTCAACGTTCTTTCTCACCTAAATATCTTCACTGAGTGGAACTGACCACATTTTGAATGGTATTATTACTAAATCGTGAGACAGGCATGCAGCAGCTAGGAAAGGGGGTAAAATAAATGGACATGATGAGTCATAGACTAGACCATAAAGCTGGACGTAAATTAAGGTTTGGCTATAATCTGGGATACAAATAAAGTTGTACTGGAAAAAAAAGGCACACGACAGGGTAACCTTATCATTTCTTGCTTTTATTATTTGTTACTAAAAACACAAAACAAGAGTTAGCGGGTATATTATTACCAAATATAGCCTTTTTAATATGTAAACCGAACATACAAAAAAGATACCCCTGGTTTATAAATGGGTATCTTGTGCTCAGTAAGTGTTTGTACAAGCCGACTAAACCAGCCATTGAGATCTAGAGCTTCTCATGAATATGCTCAGGTTGCAGAATATTAATAAGAAAGTCACTGCAAAAAGATGACATATGAAAGCTTGAAAGAGTTTTCCAGCTTATGAGGATTTTTCCAACTCACAAAAGTAAACTGATGCCTTTTTCTTGGCAAGGCAAGATACTCAGCAAGAGGGCAGATCTCATTACGCATATCTGGACTATAAAGGTCAGTAATTGAGAAATGTTCCCTAGAGACAGGTAAAAGTAATATACTTCTATGGACACTGGAATACAGTTAAGAAACAAGAATCCAAAACCTTTTAAAGGATACGGTCTGTGCCAGGAAACAATGTTCTTCCAGTCAACAGCTCCGCCATTATGCATCCCACTGACCAAATATCAACTGGCAAAATTAAAGAGAAATAAAAGTGCATACAGTGTCACTATTATCATACCTGGCCACAGATGAAACTATAACTAGGGGGGAAATAGTCAAATTCACATTTAACACATCTGAGGTTCAACAATCATACTCATTTTTACAGAAATAAATAAACTTATTAAGACCTTCCCCCTACTGAAGGACTTCATAGGTGGGATAAGTCAAAACATAATTAAGGCAAGAGAAATGAGCTATTCACAAAGGGGCAAAAGTTTCTTATTGGTAGAAATTGTGGATTCTCCCAACTGATACTGAGAGGCTAATCTTATGAACCCATTGTCTTCGGGTACAGAAGTACTCAGAGAATGAGCTGAAAACCTAAATACATAAAAATCCAATTGCTAAATCACACAGTCTGAAAGCTGTGTATTAAACCCCACTTTCTCTCTCTGAGCAACTGAAATGTTTTCTATTTGTGGACTTTAAAATGATCATTGAGGAAAGAAAAGATGGTTCCTCCCACTCCCACCATCTCTGCTTCTGAGAACCCCGCATACACCCAGCATCGTACTAACATGGCCCTAAATAACCAATGCAGGCAATACCTGTCTGGTTGTAATGCATCCAGTTCAGCATGATCTCAGGAGCCCGGTACCACCTAGTGGCTACGTAGCCTGTCATTTCATCATCTGTGTGTCGAGCCAGGCCAAAATCCAAGATCTAAGGGAGAGAAGGGAAATCAGGCACTGAGAGAGTCAAAGTCCTGAGACGTATAAAGCAGGAGGGAACTCTAGTGCCTTACAAAAAGGGAGGACAATATGGTACCTTCATAAACGTATTTCCTGGTCCGTGCTTAGAACGCATGGTAAACACAGCAAATACTTTAAAAAATGAAATTACAAAATGCGAAACAAGAATGCCACTCCTGGGTATTTACCCAAGAGCAATGAAGACGAGTGTCATACTAAAGCTTGCACATGAATATTCATAGCAGCTTTAACAGCTCCAAACTATTGGGTTGTCGGAAATGTCACGATGCAGTTTTGCAACGAAAAACAAAAAATATGTCATGACTTTTCTGACAACCCAATAGAATTGAGGCGAATGTCTATTAATAGATGGACTACCACATTGTGGTATATTCCTACAATGGATAATGCTCAGCAATAAAAAGGAATGAACAACAGATACAGATCTCAAACATACTATACTAAGTAAAAGTCAGACACACACACAAAAATACTGTATGAGTCCACTTGTACGCAACTCCAGAAAAGACATCTATTCTACAGGGTCAGAAAGCAGACCAGTGGTTGTCTGTAGCCAGGATTAGGGGTGGGGGTGGGGACTGGCCAGGAAGGAACACAGGGGAACTTTCTGAAGTGATGGAAATATTTCCTTATCCTAACAGTGGTGGTGGTTACATGCATACATGAATTTGTCAAATGTATACTTAAAAGGATGCATTTTATTGTATGTAAATTGTTTCAAAAACATTGAGTAAAAAATGAAATGAAACAAAAAAATTTTCAGAACTGCTTGCTCTTCACAGACAATCGATCTCTTATTTGAATTATTTTGAATGAGTAGATTAATGCCATTTTTCCTTAGGAACCTATTTAATCTAATAATTATCTCTTCAGGATTGCTTACTTGATATTCAGACTATAATTTTCCTTTATTACAACTAATACATTAATTTTCTAATTTAACTTTTAGAATAAAAAACAAGATACTTGATGCCACCTTCGATGTCACTTAAAACAAAAGTTCAGTAAGTCTATGGTTTAAATTTTAGAGTCTGACATTCCTAAGGACAATATGAATTTTTATCGGTCATGGCTTATAAGCCATTCCCTATACAAATCTGCCTGGTTAATCAAACATACAATTACAAGGTGAAACAAACAATTACCACTATCTCTTCATCTTACCTTCAGCTCACAGTCTTCATTCACGGCTAGATTACTAGGTTTTAGGTCCTAGGAAGCAAGTACACAGAGGACAGGATGAACTCTAGGATGCATGGAAAATTCACTGCTTACAGGTAATGATGAAGATCTAAACATAAAAGTAAGACTTCACCCAGCTAAAAACAATCCCCATTCTGTAGTCACTGTTAGTCCTAATTAGCTTTAAATAGGTAACAATTCTGTATCTTCTTTCTTTAATCAGTTGAAACCTTGAGCAAAGTTGCAATCAATCAATATTTCAATAACTAAAGTAAGCTCAGATTAGGACCTTGGCTAAATGCCAGCCCCCTCCCCCACTACCTCACACACCCCAGTTCCCCCAAATAATTTAATAAAAAACACAATACATACCCTGTGAATTATGTCGGCTGAATGTATATACTGTGAAATAGAAAAAAAGTCAGTTAAATGAAAAGTTATCTCCAACCTCCTTATATGACTTAATTTCATGAATCAATAAGAACTGCTACTATTAACAATGGGATTAGAAATTAGAACAAGTAGTTACTTGTCTGTCCATTTATCATAACTATGATGTCCATACCATCAACTTTAATCATAGAGCTGAAGTCTGAGTGAAACAGAGCTTCCAATCTATTTTCTAGTTGGTTCTCTGGAGCTCAATAAGGACTCAAAGCTGCTAAATGTCAAAGGTGGTTTAATTTAAAAACACCGTTTATCTGCTCCCCCACAAGTAAATTAGCCTCCTTGAGGATGCTTTCAAAGTTTCCACATGACATGGATCAGATATTAGATTATATCAAGAAATTATTATTACTGTTTAGATGTAATAATAGAGTCCTACGGGTGGAATGATACGATGTCTAGACTTGCCTTAAAATAATCTAGGACTTGGGGAATACAAAAGAAACAAGACTGGCCGTGTGTTGGTCATTGTGAGCACTGAGTAAACACAGAGGCTCATTATACTATGATTATACTAGTGATTTTGTGGGTGTTTGCAAGGGAGAGAAGGGGATAGAAAATTTTCATTCCTAAAAAATTATTACTAATACTGTCTATACCTTGAGACCTCGGAGAATTTGGTAGATAAGGAATTGAACGTGGTCATCCGTAAGCTTCTGACATTTCACAATGTTGTTCAGGTCTGCCCCCATGAGATGGGTCACCAGATACCTAGAATAATAGAGAGTTACATAATAAGCCAGAACTCTCAAGAAAGTTCTTATCTTCATGAGCCTTTTAAAAGTTTTTCAGAAAAGGAACACCCAATGAGTCCCACAGTGACAGCTAAAGCTTAATAACTACTTGTGGGGGCTTATTTTCAACACCACTATTCTAACTTTATCACCTGTCATCCATTTTTCTAAAAATCTTATACTCATTCCTACTTGACATATCTTTTCCTAGGTTCTCTAAAGAAAAAGAGCATAAATGTGAACTAGAAAGATATGTGTTAATATCAGTTTTCTTTTTTCTTTTTAAAAGATCTATTTTTTTATTTTTTTTATTGGGGAATTGGGGGGATGAGAACAGTGCTGGGGAATTGGGGGGAAGGGGAACAGACAAGCTGCTGTCATTTTTTTTATTCTTCAGTCTAGTTGTGGAGGACGTTGCTTCACTGGCCCCAGTTGGCACCATCACTGCGCACCTCCCGGGCAAGGCAGATCAGTCGCCAGCTTCTGGACGGCCACTCACCACGGCTGCTGGCCACTCACGCTGGCTGCTGGCTACATATGGTAGCCCATGGTAACCCACTGCCACAGGGGCTGCAGCCTACGCCGTCGCCGCCAGTGACTCACGGCAGCCCAGCTCCAGGTTGAGCTGTTGTTCAGCATCTTAGCTGTGGAGGGTAGTGTCACTGGCCCTCATATGTGGGATCCGAACCGGGGCCCTCCGTCGTCCCAAGCCAGCTCCCAACCATCGCGCCACTCGGCCGGCCCAATATCAGTTTTCTTTAAAAATGTTACTATTGCATGAGAAATATACAGTGTAACTAAATGCATGGCCATAATAAAGTATCTTGCATTTTTAAAACCACCATTATATTTTCATCTCATTATAAACCTTCCAAGTTGTAAGTTCTAAAATAGGAGCGTCTTTAAATTTTCAAATTATAAATCTCCTTTTTCAGGAATGACTCGTTCAAGGGTATTTGTTCATTGATAGTATTCCTGCATTTACTTTAAAGGAAGGAGGAACACATTTTATCTGTAAGCAGGATGAGGCATTCCAGAACTTCTCACAGGTGTGGTGCTGGCAATTAACCCTATTTTTACATGGTAAGATTAGGGAATGATTACATTCAAGTCCAACAGGTTCATCACAGATATCCCAGACGCAATGCCTTACCCACCCATTACTGTATCACACAGGTGTGGGAACATAAAAACCACATCAGAACTAAAGAGGCTGAATTTCTAAAAATTAGGTTAGGTTTCACTTACTGAGTAAGAATCTTTATCCATTCCTGAGGCTGAGTAATAATGTGTATCACTGCGGCTAGAGAGAATGCTGATTTCATTTTAGTTCTGTTTTTTGTGTTTTTTAAAAAACAATAATTTGGAGGGAAAGAGACCAGGACAGTAAATTTAAATCTACTATAATGTATTATATGAATAAATATATGTCTCACCTCTCTTTACACACACACACACACACACACACACACACACAATTTATCAATTTCTTTCCTCAAACAAGAACTGAATTTTTTTCTGTTTCATAATTTTCCCATTGGGCTGCTATGGTTGGTTCCCGATTTCGCTAAGATCAATAGTACAATAGTTAGCATAGATGCATCCTTAAAGTAAAATTTTAGCATTTCATATTTTTAAAACTTGCATGTTTACATTGCCTTGAGGAAAGTGTGGACTCTAATTGGAATTTGAAGTGTAAATTGGACTTTTTGAAATGTTTTCAGAAACGTAGTTCTGATTTAAGAGATGTTCCGAGCTCAATATAACACAACCAAAGGCAGGTCGTGCTTATTCTGGGCCAAGCACTATTCATTATGTCCATGGCTCATGTACTCTTCCTCACAACTCGGTGAGGTAGTCCCATTAGCATTCTCATTTCATTGATGAGGAAACAGAGATAGAAAAAGGATACATAACTTGCTCAAGGTTAAAAGAGTGGTAATGTCAGGGGATGAAACCAAACCTGTTTGATCTCAGAGGCTGTGATGTTAATCACAGCACATATTTCTCCAACCAAATTCTTCCAGTTGATACAAAATTTAAGTCGAGAGAATGAGCTTTTTAAAAAGTTTTATAAATGTCACAATAATCAAAGCAGCAATATCTCTAGGTAATTTCCTTACCAATTCTCAATATTTACTATCAAAGTTAATGTTTAACTAATGAAGAAAGGTGGCAAAACAGCAATCCCCCAAATTGACACATAATCTGACAAATATGAAAAAGTGTGAATAACTGGGTAATATGTTGAAATCAGGACTTCCCCAAGAAAATCTGGGCTAATGGCTGCCATATCCATAATACAAATTAAGACAAATTGCAAGGCTCAGGCTGAGCAAGAGAGAGAGAACCCAGTATCTGTCTTATAAGATTGCTTTGGAAATAATTACATTTTATGACATCAAGTAGTAAAAGGATTATTCTCTCAACTTTAAAAAATAATTTTAAGGAGAAAAGGTAAATAGAAACATTGTTTTGGATGATTCTAACTAAAATCTATCTTAATTTGTTTTGAAATAAAACCTAAAAATCTCAACTCTCTAACATGTCTGTGCTAGTTCACAACAATGTTAGGCAGTATTATTAATGCAACCATAGCCATTTCAAGTATAACTATTGTGTTTCGATGGATACTTGTGACAAGAAATCCTACACAGCCAGAGGCCCATGGACTGCCCAACTCGAGAGGGAACATGCTTTTAGATAAAATATTCCACCACTGTGTAATTCCCCTCAACTCCCTTCCCATCAGGGACCATATCCACTTTATCACTAAAATTTCCAGATGGAGGGTAAGGCTGTCAAAACATTACATAAATATACAAGATTAACCAGTCTATATAGCAATTATAACTATCAAGCATTGCTGCTAGGCTACAATTAAATCAACTGGAAAGCATTATTCCTGGCAGAAGTATCTTGCAGGGACCAACTAAATCACTATATATTGTTTCCAGGAAGCTCAAAGACCAATCCATGACAACCAATTGTCAAATTCCAGCTCCTCACACATAGAAAGGTTTCCAAATAAATCTTTCAACAGCGGACAAAAGCCAGCATCGTGTAAAGTTACTGAATGCTTATGGAAGACATGCCAACTTTTAGAAGCAGTGAAGAGGCAGTGGGAGGAAAATATAGATGAGCACATTTTACACAGAATTTCTACAGTACTTGTCTGTGGAAAGAAAATTTAATTACATCTTTGTAAAGACATGGCTACTATTGTCAGTGTTCATAACACCTCAAGTAAATTAATGAAGGTTTGACTTGAGAACAGTTGGAAAGCTATCTATATATCTAGTTCTCCCATCTTTAAAGAAAGGAATTAAATAAGTAGGTCTTTATTAGGCTAATGGCTGAAAAGATGGTTTCATGACCTGATACAGATCTTGTTTCTCACTTTTCTTGTGAAGAACTATTTAATCAAACTATAAATGGCATACATCACCATTTTTCAAAGTGACTCATATGTGAAAAGTACTGCGGCAGCAGCAGCCAACAGTAGGTGGTGCTCAGTGCTGCAGACAGCGCTGGTTCTAGAGCTTCATCTATTCAGCACTTGTTGGATAACATCCAGCTGTCAAGATTCCTACCCTACCACTGTTTTTTTAAAAGCCTAATAGTCACAAAGAACCTGTATAGGAAAAAAAAAATCTCTTCTATAGCTATAGATTGGCATCTCTCCTACTGTCAGCCCTATTTGATAAGGCAATTATCAAAAGGCAAAAACATTTCCATATTTAAAGAAAGTATTTAAAATAATCACAGCAGTTGACGATTTGTAACCACAAGCCTCTGAAATACATCCATTCAGTGATCCTTGGGCCTTACTACTGTCTATTCTCAACACAGTAGAGTGATTCTTTAAAAATAAAAATCAGATCATGTCACTCCTCTCATCAAAAGGCAAAAATCCCTTGGGCCGGCCGAGTGGCTCAGTTGGTTAAGAGCTCGCTCAAGGGTTTGAACTCTGAGCAACAGCAGTTCGAGTCCGGCCCGAGCTGAGCTGCCGCTGAGCTGCCAACAGGTGGCAGGATGGCTCAGCTAAAAACAAAACAAAACAAAACAAAACAAAACAAAATGGCAAAAATCCCTTCAATGGCAGATAAAGTCCCACATAATTCAGCACCCTGGCCCCCAGTTCTCTCTCACTTCATCATCTGCTTCTCTCCCCCCACTCTCCGCAGCTTCATGCTGGCCCTACCTCAGCCACACGGGCCCCCGGCTGCAATCCCACACAGCATGGTCTTCCCCTCAGGACTTTCGCACTGGCTGTTCCTTCTGATGAATGCTCTTCCCCCCAGACATCCAGGAGTCTAATTCTTCTAGTCCTTCAAATTTCCGCCCAAAATTGACCTTCTCAGTGAGGCATGTCCTGACCACCCCATTTAAAATTGCATCCCGCTCCCCCGCCCCGCCCTTGCACTTCTAGTTTCCCTTCCCTGCTCTACCTTATTTTTGTCTGGAGCATTATTGCCGGCTATCATATTATTGAATTCTTTTTTATATATTCATTGCTTATTGCTATTGATCTGTACAATGTTCAAGGAGGACGGGGTTCTTCTTTGTTCCCTATGGGATCTAAAGTACCTAGAACAGTGTTTGGTAGATAGTACGCACGCAATGGCTACTGAATTGAATTGAATGACTCAGGACACCTTAAACAGCATTACTACTACGTAAGACCAGGCAAGAACACACTTTATTGAAATCCTCATGCCAAAGATCTGACCGGGTAAGCAGACCAGACTGTACTAATGTAAGGGGTAAAAACACCATTCGGCAGCCAGGCAGGCAGCTTAGCTAGCTTATTTCACAACACACCATTCTCATTTGAAGCAAAGATCACTGAAAGGTGCCCTCTATGTTACCTGCATCAAGCAAATCAGACTTGATATTCTACCAGACAGTCCACATTACAAGGTCAAAACAAAAAAGCTCGTCCAGAGAATGCACTGGCCATGCTATCAGACAATGAGATCATCAACCAGTGATGAACAAGATGACACAAGGTTCTTCGTTCATTCAGCTGCTCCATCACCAGCCATTTTTTGTTGAGCACTGAGGATGCAACAGTGGAAAAGACAGATACAGAATTTGGATGAGAGGAGGGATGTGTAAACATATACTCAGAGCATGTTCAGAGCTATAAGGGAACATGGAGGTGCTGGAGAACATGGGACAGGGCCCCAGCCCAGACTTAGGAAGGAATTAATTAGGGGAAGATTTCCTGTAGGAATCAAACTATAAGCTACACTTGAAGCTTCTTTATCTTTTTATACATCAGCTAATCTGAGCAAAAGGGGGCATTTTATTGATCACCTGAGACAAAAACTGAATGGTATTTTCTTAAAGGATGTATAATATACGCGTATTTAGATTTCAAATGTGAATCAGAAAAGGCATCTACACAACAAGCTTCACCAACTCTCGACCCTCATTTCAGCAGACCTCTCTGATAAGGAAATACATTGCAAACAAAACCGTTAACACAGTTAACTCATTTGTCTTTCTCCCAGGCTGCCTCTCTTCCTGTATTACCTATCTTGAGCACTCAGCCTATTTTCAAAGAATAAAAGTACTGTATTTACCTAGTAAGAAGGGTTAGCAGACTTTCAAATAATAATCATAGCTCTAGATCAAGAAAAATGTGATCAGAAATAGATTAAGAGGCAAAAGAACTGAGATGCATGGAATTTTGTGTGTGGTATTATGAAATTCAATTCATCTCTCAACTTCGGTTTCCTCATCTGAAAATTTCTAAGTACTAAAGACTCAACAAAGAAAAAAACAAACTCCCCACTCTAACAGAGCTTACAAGCCAAAGGGGAAGACAGAGAAATACAAATATAGGATGATAAAATGTGCTGAGAACAAAGTAGGGTAAGAGGTAGATGCTGACAGCTGCGGTGTTGCGGGAACAAGAGATTCTGATGAAAAGATCTTTGAAGGAAATGAAGGAGCCAGGCATGTGGATATGTGCAGAGAATGTTCCAGGCCAACGTCAGAAACCAGTGCAGTGCAGACGTCCTACTGGGAATACGAATGTCTGTATTTGAGGGAGAACAAAGAGGCCAGAGTGGTTGGAATGGAGAGAGTAAGTGGAAAGAGTGTTAGGCGAGGTCAGAGAGTGCATAGAGGTAAATCATGCAGGATCTTTCAGAGCTGACCACACTATTTTCCTTGATCATCTAAATTGTTCTCTCCCATTAAGAATCTCAACTCTGTCATCAGGGATCATGTTTATGTTATTTATTGTTATATTCCCCAGAGACTAGTACTGTGCCTAGCATAGGGTGGGTTTTCAAATATTTATTTACTGAAATCAGTTAAAATGTAAATCTAGAGACTCCCTTTACCTATTCAGTATATTCAACAGCTTTTATATTAATATAAAAGGAGAAACATAATTAGTTCAACAATCATTTTTTGTAAGCGGAGGGTTAAGCTAGGTGATTATCTGTCCACTGGCTTTCCCTAAAGCGATGGCTGCTGACTGACTACCGCTGCTGAAGGTCTCTGCTAGATCCTAGCAGAACCCAAAACCCCACTTCCATCTTGCTCTTTAAAGAACTAGGCAGAGTGAGAGAGATAAGTTTCTCAGGTGTAAGAAACCTGGGATGGGAAGTTGCAAAATAAGGGGAAAAGTGACAGAAAACAGTATGGAGGGACTATTTTCCACTTCACCCACGACAATTCAGTTTTCCTGAAATTTGAGGAAATAGCTTGCAGTAAGATTCCAAAGCTTCTTCATTGCCTATTAAGCTTGATGAGAGACCCACTGTAGTTGAGAAAAGGCGACATTGTAGCAGCAGGATAGTTGCAGCTAGCTCTAGGGTTAGGTTCTAATGCTGGTTAAACATTTTTTTGGATTTCTACTGGTAACTAAATATCTGCAACATGCACATATAGGCACCTCTTGCCAAAAATTACCATCAAGGAGCCAACAGAAATGCCCAAATAATTTCCAATCATTCAAAATACCTAGATATATTTTTATAAAAATGTTGCCAATTGCACACCACATCCTATGGCAGCCAAGAGCAACTCGGTATACTCATCTTTTAACCCCACATTTTCCCACCACCATCTCAGGTTCAGTAACTGTACATTGTTCCTAGTGATCAAAACTCGTTACTTAGTATTGTTCCTTTATCAAAAATATAGTCTTACAAATGAAGTATGCAGGATGCCTATCAACCAAGAAATTAAAAATTCAATACAAATTTGAACTGCATGATAAATGAAAAGTGCTCGCTGAACTATAAAGACAAAGATACTCGTAACACATGATTAAAAGGCAACTGTAAATATTAAAAGTCATTAGAGAATTTGTTACTTGGCACAGGAAATTCATGTTCAAAATGATTGCCTGCTCTACACCTAGCAGCCTGCAGAGCCACTCTAGCCTTCAGTATGTTTGATTTGTCCAGAACCGTGGGTTTTTGTGAGTTTGCTTATTTTGTTTTAATGTGAATTTGAATATTTTTAGGAAGTACAGGTGTTCTGTTTTACCACTCCCAGTTGTGTTAACGCTGAGCCTTACTTATGTTATGTGTATGGCCCTAAAGGTATAATAAATTTGCAAACCCTGCAATTGTAATGAAAATGCTTGCTGTCTTATGCAAATTTTGATGACTTTGGAAAACACCGAAATAACCATAATATTGGACAAGCACTAATGTTTTTCAGTGATACAAACATAAAAAGTAAACAAGGAAACATTTTCCTAAAGGCAACCTTACCTTCATCATTTTATTTTTGGAGATTCTCTGGGATTGAAAACACTTCAGAAGTCAATCACCCCAATTTACATCATTTTACAGGGAAGCTAACTGGGGCCTTGGGAGCCAAAGCGACTTGTCCAAGGTCATACAGTCATTAATAACTTACAGAGGTGTTTTGAATTTATTTTTCCTAATAAGATTTTGATTTCGTCAAGGGCAAAGACTAGTGTTTCTGATTATTCTGAGCCTGTCCCAACACTCCACTCAGTAAGTATTCAACAAGTAGTACTGAGATTTGTTTTCAAGAGATGAACTCAGTTCTTGTTTATAAATAATCAGAAACCAGCTTACACAATGTTGTATGTCAATTATATCTCAATAAAGCCGGAAATATGGCTAAGTAGAAAGAACTGTTTCTTGCTTAGGAGCCATAGTATTTGTTGAATGAATTAAAAAATAAATAAATGTAACCTTAATTCAGTGGGTATGCTTGAAGTCACTGGGCTTTCAAATGGATAAAGGAGCCAACAGCACTACAATGCAGAAAACCTATCCATTCAAATAGACACTAGCCTTAGATAAGGTCTTCACACAGAAAAAATAGGTTCATAATCCACTTCCAATGCCCGATGAAGCCAAAATACAGCATTTGCCCAGGTCAGCAAATTTCGTTGTTAAATACATCCATCCACATTGTACCTAAATTTGGGGATATAGCCCTGAGACCTGATTCAAATGTCTTCCAAAGTAATTCACAAATACACTACTTCAGCATTCCTTCCACCTTTAGGCAGAATATCAAAAACCACCGGTCTTAGAGCCGTGAAAATACACTGCACGCTATTATAACAACAATACATTGTTATATGTTTGTCCAAACCCATAGAATGTACAACACCAAGAGTGAACCCTAAGGTAAACTATATAGGACTTTGGGTGATTATGATGCGTCAAGGTAGGTTCATCCTTGGTAAAAAAAATGTACCATTCTGGGAAGGAGGTGTGCCAGTTCAGACAATGAGAAGGCTGCAGTAGGGAGCCTGTACCTGTACAAAGACACCTGGGGACTCTATCTTGCACTCACACGTGTGTAAACTGGGCATGCATGCCTCACTGGGTAACTGTGCCAATGGCGACAGGGCCAGTGGATAAATGCTCCCCATCTGAGGTGCATTCTGCACAGCTTCCTGGAAGATCCTGGCAGTTTTCAGCCCGGCTGCCCACAATGGTGGCCAACTTTGTAACATGTTCTTAAACAGGATATGTTATATGCTCCCGTTTCATTTTCCCTAGCCCCTCACTACTGGTTCCTGAGAATCTCGGCTCTGCTTTCCGGGGGGGGGGGCCAGGCTAAAATAATAGAGATGGTCACAAAACTGGAAGAATTCGCACTATTCATCAGCTTTTTCAACATGTGAGGCCCGCCCCTTGTCCCAGCGCAGAAGTCCAATGCTTCAAGGATCAGCATGTAGTTCTAGTACCATTTCCTACACAAGTGGGATAAGAGGGAAGGAAGAACCTACATGGAACCAGGGCTCCATTACATTTCTTGGTGTAGGTGTAATAATGGAAAGGTGTCCCTTTAGACGCTAGGACAGGGAATCTGAGAACAAAAATCATAGTCCAAACTCTCTACACTCTTCTCAACTGAACTCTTGCAAGGACTGACCGCTACCTCTCCAATTAGAGCACAATGTGCCCAAAGTGATGAAAATTTACACTCACCACCCATAACACATATTTCCTGTATCTGTCCCACCCCTCAGAAGCACTGATGATAGAAATGAAGAACCTCTGCTGGTCTGTAGACTGCTAAGTGGTTCCGGAATAGAAATGGGCTGCTAATCTTTACCCCTCTGGGTGATGAAGGCAAACGCAGAAGATTTACTCACACATCATTGAACTCCTCCAAAGACCTTGCAGGTGTAAAAACATCCAACAGACCAATCACCTATAGGAAAACATAAAAATTAAACAGTAAATAAATACCGATCTTACTACAGTGCCCATCAGGTCTTAATCATTTTACTAGGAACTAATTCCAAATCCCGCTATCTCAGTTCAATAATATCAGAAAATCATATACATACTAATAACTATAACTTATTTTCTACCCAAATTATGCTTTTATTTTTACTTGTTAACATCACATCTTATAAAAACCTATTTTACTATTAAAAATCTCCAACTCCTTAGAATTTGGTCACATACAGCCATCAGTTTATCGGGAAGAAAAAAGATTCAGGGCTCCTGGCTTACATATGCACTAAGTCTGTGATCAACAAACAGAAATAAGTCGCACTTCTACAGCTGCTATTATAGGATCAGTTTTCATTTTTAAATGTATTATCATTCCATGAAAATTTTCTTTGTTACTATATAGTCTTCAAAACTGACATTTTTAAAGCCCCCAAATATTCTCTCAGTATATTCTTGGTATTATTCTTGTAATATTCTTAATATTAGGATAGTTTTCTTCATCATTACCAGGTATTTAGATAAGTATTTAAAAATTTTTTTAAAAGCTATTTTTACACAAGGATAAAGCTAAGAATTACTTAGTATTCAGTAATCTGTGATCTTTGAGCAGTTTTTCTGGTCATGAATTTATACTAATTAATCCACATATTATATTACCCCCATCCCATTCCTCCTAAACCCAGACCACTCATTTCTACAGAGTTAGGCATGGAGAACGAAAACAAGAAGAATTCATCTGTGATACGCAGAGCCAGATTTAAGGGTATCTGGAAATGAAACCAACAAAAGCTAAGTGGCTTTTATGAAAACCCACCCAGAACTGCTCTAACCAAGTCCAACAGCTCTAACAGTACAATATACCAATGCTCAAAACACTATCATGAAAAAGCAGTTCTAATTAGAATATTAATCCACACATCCAAATTCCAGACTTTTAAAAGCAATTTCAAATATATAGCCTGAACCCAAAAGGAAAACAAACCAAAACAAACAACAACAACAACAAAAGGCCCTGGAATTCAAGAATAGCTTTTCAAGTCTTCGCATCTTATTCCAAAGGGAAGGTACCCATCAGATCCTTACCCTGATAACTGTATACAAAAAAACTAAAATTACCTATAATTGTACTACCCATTATAACTATCGCTAACATTTTGATATATTTCCTTTGATTTTTCTGATTACATAAATTAAATTGGGGTTATACTATGCATATAATTGTATATCCCACCTTGCCACTTAACATATGACTGTTCTCATGTCCTTAAATTTTTTTTAATAATATGCTCTATTATTTGTATATATGCACCATAATTTAACCAACTTCTCATCTTTGGACATTTAAGGAACACTGCAAGTGTGTGCATATATATTTTTTGCACACCTTGTATTTTCTTCCAGAATAAATTTCAAGATACACAATTATAGGATCAAAGGACATGGATATATTTAAGTATCTTAATCTTATCAAACTGTCCTCCATAAAGATGAGGCCAACTTACATTCCCACCAACAGTATATCTCAGACTGTATAACAGCGCTAAATAGGGCTTTAAATTTAAGTCAAATTATTTCCGTGTTCCTTCTCCATCTAAACCACAATTATTTTCCTAGAGTTTGACCCCCTCCTGCCTTGAGACCTCTCTATCTAGTCTTTTGATTACGCTCTCCTATACCCACTTGTCTTTTAGGTAGCTGAGATCTAGAAGCCAATTTTATTCACCTGTTCCAATATTTTCTAATCACTGATTCTAGTTATCTGAGATGCCCCATCTCCTCAATACAAGAAGCGTTTAAAACAATTTACATTATTTTTCATTATTTCAATTGTGATTGTGAAAAATGATTCTTAGATCAAAATAAAATTAAACCATTAGAGGTAAGATTTATACAGGATTATTTACGCAATAGTTATCTCAAAGACAGTAAAACAAAACAAGTCCACAATATTTTCAAATAAAAGCCTCAATTTCAATTTGAACACACAACAGGCATTTTGGAATCAAACAGCTGTAAGTTTTAACCCCACAATCAGTCTCTAAGAATTCTTGGATCCATGAGCTTATGTTTTTTTCAGTTCCAATAAACTCAGCACTTGGAATAGTGCCTGGCATACAGCAGTTAAATATTTGTTAAATAAATGAAATAAAGGTATCTTCTCAGCCTCATTTTCCTCATATGAAAGAAATAGAAATATTATTGCTTATTTTCACAGATTGTGGGAAAGATTAGGGGTGATCACATCCTCAGAGTTTTATAAAGAATCACAAACGACAAATCACAGAAACTAACTATTTGAAGCAGCTACTTCCTGTAACAAAATTTGAGATATAAAACTAAACTAAATGATTAAATGATTTAACAAGTATGGCTGCGGGCCAGCCGAGTGTCGCGTTGGTTAAGAGTTGGCTTGGGACGCCAGCTTTGAGCAGCAGGGCCCCGGTTCAGATCCCACATGAGGGCCAATGGCACTGTGCCTTCTACAGCTAAGATGCTGAACAACAGCTCAACCTGGAGCTGGGCTGCCGTGAGTCGCCCTCAACGGTGTAGGCTGCAGCCCCTGTGGCAGTGGGTTGCCATGGGCTACCGTGTGTGGCCAGCAGCCACAGTGAGCGGCCGTCCAGAAGCCGGCGACTGATCTGCCTCGCCTGGGAAAAGCGCAATGATGGTGCCAACTTGGGCCAGTGAAGCAACGTCCTCCACAACTAGACTGAAGAACAAAAGGACAGCAACTTGTCTTTTCCCCTTCCCCCAATTCCCCAGCACTGTTCCCATCTCCAAATTCCCCAATTAAAAAAATAAAATAAAATAAATTAAAAGTATGGCTGCAAAAAGCACAGTTAACTAATGTGGAAAAAGTAGGGCAAGGCATATTAGTAAATACATTATTAAATTTTAATTTCCTTAAATGAGACACATTTTATGAGATTAAAACTACCCATGTTACATTGAAGTATTTTTAATTTTTGTGGGCTTTTACAAAATGTTCTTTCTCTACTGATCGTATTTATGGAGTAATTAAATCATAAGAAAAATACCGTAAAAACCAAGTTTCCCAGCAATTAAAATAGATCTGGGGAACATTTTAGGAATATTCCATCATCTATTCATTTCTCATTTCTTAAATGGAAATTTCCTTTTAATTCAAGTCACATTTCTGCCCATTTTCTTACTCTTTCTGCCATTATATGACACCTATAAGCCTAGAAATAGCCCAGGAATCACATTTTTAGAAAAGACATTTACAACAGAAATAATCAGCAAATATCTCTGATGATCTACAATGGTCCAAAAGCTACCAGACAGAAGTAATACTTTTATTAAATTAGCACACACTCAAAAAACAAATACTTTAACTCAGTAATCAAAGACAATATTTAATGCATTTAACACAAAACAAAAAACAAAAAAACCACAAGCACACCAAAACCACCACTTGGTCTACCCTGGAATGTTAAATTTAAGGCTCAAGGATAAAATTTATGAAGGATTCCTTTAATCATGTTTTAATTCCAAATGTACAGATCTCCAGGTCCTTTCCTGGAGTACCTACCCACACAGCAAAAGGGTGCAGCTGGCAGGCTGCCTCCCTGTAATCTGTCCTTAGAGCAGGTGTTAATGAGATCAAGGGTGCAAGTTCCATCAGGAATGGGCCAGTTAACTGATCAGAGAATAACTCTTTAAGAGTCACAGAAGACATCCTCTAGCTCCTGTCACCCATCTGATAAGCACATATCTGTTATTCATTGTCACTAATAAAAGAAATAACTTAAGGGCCGTCCGAGTGGCATGTTGGTTAAGAGCTGGCTTGGGACACCAGCTCTGAGCAGCAGGGCCCCGGTTCAGATCCCACATGAGGACCAGTGACACTGCCCTCTACAGCTAAGATGGTGAACAACAGCTTGACGTGGAGCTGGGCTGCCGTGAGTCGCTGGCGATGGCGTAGGCTGCAGCCCCTGCTGCAGTGGGCTGCCATGAGCTACAGTGTGTGGCCGGCAGTCAGCGTGAGCGGCTGGCAGTCAGTGTGAGCTGCCAAGAGTCCCCGTGAGCAGCCGTCCAGAAGCCGGCGACCCATCTGCCTCACCTAGGAAGAGCGCAATGATAATACCAACATGGGCCAGTGAAGTGACGTCCTCCACAACTAGGCTGAAGAACTAAAGGACAGCAACTTGTCTGTTCCCCTTCCCCTGATTCCCCAGCGCTGTTCCCCTACCTCAATTCCCCAGTAAAATCTTTAAAAAAAAAAAAAAAGAAATAACTTAAGATAAACTATGGATGGTGGGTCAGAGGCATTTTTGTGTAGAAGATTACACATGTATTCTGGCACCTAAAAATTGTTTTGATACCAATATTTATTTAACATTTTCAAGAGTTTTAAGCTGCTGCTACTGCTGTTGTCTTTGCAGGCCTGGTGGCTAGCTGAAAATTGGACAGCGGCTGAAAAAGTCATTAAATAAATAAATAAATAAATAAATAAATAAATAAATAAATAAATAAATACTGAGGAAGAGGAGAATAAAGGAGAGGAATTCTTTTTAAAATCTTGATTAAGCTGACCTGAAAGTCCAGGTTCTTTACTAGGTCAAATGACTTTTACATTTTAGGCACCTAACAATTGTTTGTAGACAAGGCTAAAATTCAGGTTTTTTTCTACATTGAGTCAATGTGTTTTGGCCTCTTCCCATTCCCCCTTCAAACATTTGCCAACACAATAGAGAACTGTAAAACATTCAGTCAAGTGCCTTCTTTTGTCCAACAAATCACCAGTACTTAAGTATAGGTGACCCTCTGTCCTGATACTGCTAAAACCTAAATATTTTAATACAAAAAGGATGGGCTGCTATTAATCTAGCTGCTTGTAAAACAATTTATATAAACTAAAACCCCGTTTTTCTAATACTGTCAGCCCTCTTTTAAAAAGGAGTCTTGTAACCTTTCCTAAATTGAAAAATTGTATCCATCACTGTGGCCTCCTCATTTCTACAAATACAAGAATGGCCTGAAAGTAACCAGCTCCATATAGGACACATTTCAAAGTATCTCATTACAGAAAATTAAAGCATAAAAAACTAAATAAGGTTGCTGCCCATGATCACTAGAAAAGCCAAGGCATGGATTCAGATAACCCAAAATGACTTTTGCCCTAAATGTTGGCTTAATTTATCTATAAAGAAAAGCAAAACAATAAAGTATAGCGCTGGTAATCTTCTAAACCAGAAATTCTTAAAGTAGTGTGGGCAACATCTGAGGGATCGCGGGGCCTCCTGGAAGTGCCTTGGGGTTCTATAAATGTTTGGCTTGTGTTCCATTTTCAAAGTATTCTTTATATTTGAAAAGCTACGACAATGTCTCTGTCACATTTATTCATGAAAAACAGCATACACTCAACTGTGCTCAAAACCAAACGTAACCGTATCAGGTAAGCAGCCAGTCCACCCTGATTTTATGCAGACCTTGGAATAATCCTTCTCTTGCCAGCTTTTTCCACATATCTCAACTTCTTGTAAACATGTCACTGATTAGAAAGGTTGCAGCTCTGCACTGAGCTTTTTAAAAACTCAGTTTTGCACATGGATGCTCATATTAAATGACACCTTAGGAATAGAGTTTACATGTAGAAAACAGGATTTTCTCAATAGCATGGAGTTAAAATAAAAAATGAAAATAAATAAGAAACTGCAGCTGTGATTACAAGGGCATCCATAATCCAATTCCAAATTTAAGTCTCAATGCTCTCAATTTAGAGGGAAATTATACTTTGTGAAACAAATGCATATTAATAAAGTATTGCGTATCTGTGATTTTTCTTACTATGGACAATAAAAAAAAAAGTTCAATTAAAACAGAAAAAATTGGAATAGCCAAGTACTAAATTTAGATTTTGAGTTTTTTCTACACAGTAACGATCAATAAGATCAAATGACTAAAATCTCTATGGCCAGTGTTTCTACGATGCTACAAATTTCACAGTTCCTTTCATATATAGCAATCACAGAAATTCTTTTTAACTTGATTTGGAAATTCAGGCAAGTAAGTGTCCTCAGTCAACTGTTTTTTCACTTTCAGTTAATATTCCAATTGCATCCATTTATTTACCATATTAGAACTTTTAAGCACTCCTTTGAAGGATGGCAATGTTCTTAAATTTCCAAATTGATAGAAAATAAAAAGTTACATTTAACTTAAACAATGTCTTTGTCACATTTATTAAAATATCCAAATCTGGAACAGCTGGTTTTGAAGATTAAAAGGAAAAATTATAATATTAATTTATATATAATTTATATAAAGTCATAGCTATCTGTGATAGAACCTTCAGTGAGTCTAAGCACTCTTCCTCAAACTTCTCCACTGAAATAACCCATAACACAAAAATAGCTACGGACTCCCATATTCTGAGAAGGAAGGTTTCAGGAAACCAAGTAAAGAATACAAAATTTCTTAAAAAAAATTTTTTTTTTTAAATTTTATTAGGAAATTGGGGGAGGAAAAGTGTTGGGGAATCGGGGAAGGGGAACAGACAAGTTACTGTCCTTTTGTTCTTCAGTCTAGTTGTGGAGGACGTCACTTCACTGGCCCATGTTGGTATTATTATCATTGCAGTCTTCCCAGGTGAGACAGATGGGTCGCTGGCCATTGGACAGCCGCTCACAGTGGCTCACAGCAGCTCACACCGGCTGCCAGCCGCTCACGCTGGCTGTCAGCCACTCACAGTAGCTCACGGCAGCCCACTGCAGCAGGGGCTGCAGCCCAGCTCCAGGTCAAGCTGTTGTTCACTATCTTAGCTGTAGAGGGTGCAGCGTCACGGGCCCTCATGTGGGATCCAAACCAGGGCCCTGCTGCTCAGAGCTGGCGTCCCAAGCCAACTTTTAACCAATGCGCCACTTAGCTGGTCCGAAAATTTCTTTGTAATATTTCCTCTTAAAAATGTTTGTGAATTTTGTTATACCTCATAATATATTCTTTTTTATTAAAAAAATTTAATAAAATTTTTCTGCTTTCTCTCTAAAAATCTTTGAGTAAAACTAACTCCAGGAAGATGTACCAATTTCTCCCAAGGCTTTGAGTAGCTACCTGACATAACACAGTGTCTACTAACACCCCAGTACAAGAAGCATGACCCAAAGTTTGATGTACTCTGATATATTTCTATCTGCAATAATTAAAACACAATTTTTTCCCCAGTCTACTCAAGAGCAGAATTTATTCTTCCTTGAATGAATAACTTACATTTTCATGTTTCATATGTTTAAGTAACCGCAGTTCTCTGTAGGTCCTTTTGGCATGAATAATGGACTGAAATGGTCTGGATAGCTTCTTCACTGCCACACGTAACCCAGTTTTTGTGTCAAAAGCAGCACTAAAAAAAAACAAACCACATTAAAAAAATCATTAAATGTGCTCTACATACTTCAAAGTTAGTATTTACAAACCTATTTCGTTTCCAAAATCAAATAGGTCTATAACAAAATACAAAAAAAGTATGAAGATAAAAACTAAAATGACCTATAATCCTATCATCCAAAGAAATCTCCCATTATTATTTTTGGTGTTTCCTTCTCGTCATCATTCTAAATCAGGGGTCAGCAAACTTTTCTGTGAACGGCCAGACAGCAGATACTTTAGACTCTGTAAGGCTTAGGGTTTCTGTCACAACTATTCAACTCTGTAGTTGTGGCTGAAAAGCAGCCAGATGATACATTTAAAAATGGATGTGGCTAGTGTTCCAATAACACCAAACAGGCAGTCACCTGACATAGATGAGCCAACAGATACACAAAGTGCTAGACTCTGCCTTCCTGTCAGCTCTGCCTAAGCCTCACTGTTCCTCTGCCACTATGTGCTGCCAGATCAGAGTAGAGGCCTTGGAAACCATCATGTTTTCAGGATGAGCTGACACAAAAATTTCTTGAGCACCTACAAAGTATTTGCCACTTTTTAGAAGCTGAAATACAGTAGGGAACAAGTAAACAAATCCCTGCCCCCAGAGGGGGCGAGCAGAATAATGAAATAATTTCAAATAGTGATGAACGACTACATCAGGGGTCGGCAAACTGCGGTTCGCAAGTCACATGTGGCTCTTTGGGTACGTACATGTGGCTCTGAAGTAAAATTAAGAATGAAAATAAAACTATCATAGTTTCACTTATAAAATTTTTAAAGGGTATTATTCACATAATGGTGATTTCATTTGTTTTATAGGTCTCGCAAAACTTGGAGGGACAGGATTGGTTCTTCCATCTCAAAAATTTGCCGACCACTGGACTACATAAAACAGGATAACGGGATAGAGTTAAGAAAACCAATGGGATTACGCTACTTTAGCTAGGATGTCTGAGGAAGGACACCTGAGCTGAGACTATGATGCTGAGAAAATAGCAACCACGTAAAGAAATGACAAAAATGAGCTTTGAGCAAAAGAAAAAAGAATAACATTTATTGAGTCTTTATTGCATACCAGGAACTGTTCTAAGCCCTTTACATTAATTTTAAAAATTAACTTTTTGAATCCCCAACATCCTTATGAAGTATTATTATCCCTCTCCCTTTTACAAAAGAGGAAACTGAAGCACAGAGAGGTTAAATAACTTGCCCACTGTCACAAAACTAGGCGGGGCAGAGCAGGAAGTCCGGATCCAGAGCTTGCGCTATTAACCACTTTGCTATGCTGCCTCTAAGAAGAGCAGGTGCAAACAAATGGAAAAAGAAACTGAAGTAGAAAAAATACGACATGTTGAGTGAGAGAAAGATAGCCTGTGTGGGTGGAGCACAGGGAGCAAGCGGACTAGAAGAGAACCAGGTCAGAGATGTAGGCAGAGGTTGGATCACGTAGGACATCACTGGCAACAAGCAATGTGTGTTTTAGTTGTTTTTAGAGACTGGGCTTATTCCATCATGGCTCGTCCTCTAATTTATCTCTAATGGGTATCCCAGACTTTCAGATCACCTATCATCCCAAAACTCTCTCCCATATGAATCTGTACTTACCCCAGCAGTTCTCTACCTTCACTCCCAAATCCTTGCACTATGTCCTGCTCTTCAACTCCCAATTTATGATAAACTCCTGTAAATCTTCAATCCCTTTCCTACCTACCCTCCGTCGCCTTGCTTTAACTGAAACTAAGCTGTACCTTGTAGACAGTACTTCTCTCATAGCCCAGCCATTCTCTCCCATCCTGGGGACCTCACGGCTAGCAAGTGGGTGGGGTAGGGGTCCTCCTCTCCAAGCATTACCACTTCCAGACCATAACTCTCCCTTTGTTTTGTTTTTT